GCAGATAATGAAATTAATTTTGAACATATTTTGAAAGATAAAAAAACTAGAGAGTTGGAAAATGAGTTGAAGCAAAAAGATTTAGACACAAAAGTCAGCGTAAGCAAATTTCAGAACTATTACCCAAAAATTATTTCAGATTCAAAACAAAATCTGTAAATATCCATGCAATTTTAAGCAAAATTCATAGTTTCGATGAACAATACTATGAAAAACTTTTGCATTTGAAAAACAGAATTCAAGATTAGAATAACAAATTGAATAATATTAGTAAAAATGTTGCTCTTATTACCTACCACTCTTGTACAAGTGAAATTGTTCCATAAGAAATAAAAGTATGTTTCATTGGTTGAAATTCATCAGTTTTTACCCCATTTTGAACTTTTGTGATACAAAAATATTCAACTGAACGTATATATATATATACCTACATATAAGAGACCTATTTCATAGGAATAGTATATGTATTTCGTTGGTATCGAACTCCATTGAGGTCCTTCAGCCTTATCATTCAATATTTAGAAAAAAAAAAATTTTCTGATCAATTTATCGTACCCTTTTACCCACACGAGGAGACGCTATGCACTCTCATACAAAAATCAAAGACAGAGAAAGATATATGGATGTACTCTTTCTAGGACTTGTGGAGGAAGGAAGATGCGAGGATCCTTTATCTAAGCGACAAACATATTCTTGTTCTTGTCATATACGTATTAATAAACAATACGGATCATAACGGGTGCCAGGATGAAGCCAAAAATATGAAACAAATGAATATCCATAAGGATTTGGTGGCATGATACGCATGCGCCATGCGCTATTATAGTAGTCATCAAAGACATGCGTTTCGGTGGACAATGACGTTTACTAGCCTTTCAATCAAAGCAGTATGTGTCTGATCGTTTCAAAACTTTACCTTATGGATAGTCATTTGTCTTCAAAAATCGGCTTCATGTTTCGCTATGGAAACAGATAGAGATTATCCGTATTGATTATTAATACGTATATGGTTCTTGTGTGTCTAGTGTCCGTACTCTAATATACAAAAAACGTCAAAACAGCAGTGTCAAGTACATTTAGGAACTCTAGGTACGACTAGACAGCTGGGCGTCATATCCTGGCCAACCGGTACTAACTGACTACCCTATATTACTGTCGACCACCCATTCATTGCCTGCACTATATTCGCAATCACCCTGTACACACCTTCTTCAAACTTGTCACCAGGTCCCTCCCCCCCACTCCTTTCTCTTCATCGAATTCGATTACTGCCTGCTGACTGGCCCTTTTTAATCGCACCTAAATGCAAAGAACAAACAACGAAAATCCACCAGTCGGTAATAACAGTCACACAGAAATTCATCTACTCCCTACATTCTACACCCGAAACGTCCACAGTTCATTCTAATTTCGTGTCCGGATGAGTCATTCAATTCAATTTCAGTTTTGACGTGTTAGTCGATCGAATAAGTGAGTGTGTGTGTCTCGAAACAATCTGAAAAGGCTGCTTGATCCGCTACGGATCGTTGCAGATTTCTGTAGGTAGCGAACAATAACCTATAACCAGAATAACCTACCTATCCGAGTAGGCTCATGCGAAATAAGTATAATAATGAAAACATCGGTCAGATTCCATTCAACGTCAGTTCTGTACAATACAACTGAGAAAAGAAATGTTATAACTACTAACTAATATACTTACTATACGGCGCTCGTTTTGGTCATTATGTTCGTAGAGGAATGTTGAAGAAAGAACAGATCGGATATATTTTAATTTCAAACCTATTATACCATTTATACCAATACTGGATACTGGATAGGTTAATCTTTGTTTAGCGATGTTGTCACTGTTGTCGCATCTCCAAGTTCATTGAGTCATTTTAATGGTTTCAATATTGTCAGGTAGGTAGTGAATACATAATCTGCTTCTACCGTCAGGTAAGAAAAATATGGCAACACGGAGGAAACGGCATTAATTTCAAATACACAACTCTTATTAAATATAAGTTACATACCTAGGTAGTTTGTTCTTTGAAATAGCGATCCTTTGTTTGCTAATGAAACTTGGTTTGATCTAAGCGAATGTCATGAAAACGTAGAACTTCACAAACTATCCCACCCCAGTCTTTATAGATATGTCAGTTGAATCTAATTAAGACACTTTTTCACTTTTTGTTGGTACCAAACTACCATTGAAAAAAGTAATGTGAAGGGACAATAATATCGCTGTTTGTCCACTGGCTCCAGTTGATCTTTTTGTCAGCACCTATAATTTTTCGATAAACACTTAAATAATCATGATCGGAGGAATTATATCTATACCCAATGCATCCATCTTATTGGCAGTATATATTATATCACTACTTGGCGTCTCAGTGTTTGACATCGGTTTGACAGCTTGTCTGAGGATGGCCATTTCACAAACATAGCCAAGGTCAATGTGATAAACTTCACAATCGATAAGATTTTCCCAAAATTGTTGATAACACGACATGTGGAAATCTTATCATTTGTGAAGTTTATCACATATCTGGATGGACTTCCATCAAGTAAAGGCCGAGTCAATTGAAAAAATAGCCATGGTCGGTTCAAACTACTTCAAACTAGGGCCATCTGGCTCATTTGTTGACCAACGACCAATTCTGAGAATAGGGAAGAAATCTTGCAGACCTTTTACTCTCTTATCGCTATCAGGGGCGGATTCAGCGGAGGGGGCAAAATCATAGGTATACTGGATACCAGATTCTAGACACCAGAAAAAAATCTGTGTATGTCTTCATAGCCATCCACCCGCGACCCACATTTGATATAGTATAGAATTACAGTAATTTGGATAGAGCTTCCTTTTCTTCTACTTTTTTTATCCAATATCATCTACATACAGATGACTGACTGATAAAAAAACGTATCAAGCCATAGCGCTGCTATTAAAGCAATTGCTCATCAGATAAGTATGAGTAGAGTGAGTAGATTGAATAAAGTGGCGCCAATAGACCTCAAGACTGCTGCCTTTTCACTGAATAGCTAAAAATATGATGGGTAATCTCACATGCAGCAATGAATTTGCGCCTTCGAAGTGCCCACCTGATGTTAGGTTTAGATATTTGATATTTTCTCATCATCTGATTAATCTGAGACTTACGAGTCCAAAAAGACGGATTCTAATAGTTGATATCCAAGGTATCGACGTTGACAGTTTCATGTCTGATTGTTGGATGTTTTTTGTCCAAAGAGCGAGAAACAGTGACAAAGCGTTGACAAAGTGAAATAGAATGCGTAAAACTGAATGGAGAAAACAAAGACAAGCGGATGCACCTCGATAGATGTCTGACCAATCAGAAAGTGAACTTTTGAACGGAATTAGTTGAAATAAAAAATGAATTCCGGATATGCTCAGTTGACAAGACATACAATTTTGGGATGAATCGGAGGATGCACCGTTAAATGTGACAGTAAATATCACGGAAATGAATGTCATGATATCAATTGTCAGATATTTCAACATCACATGTGATTCCAATATGTGCTGTGAAAGAAATTAAAATATTCAAACTGGCCGTCGTTAACACACCATTCATTCACGCATACTTTGAAATTACACACGGTGTCAAAATATTTGTCAAATGAAACGTTGACCTTTATATCATTGACATTTACTGCCACATTCAATGATACTTCTAAAAATTTTATGAAAATATCTAATTTTCTCAATTCAGAATTTATTTTTTATTTCAACTAATTTTGTTCGAAAATCAACTTGTCCTTGTCATAATATCATCGTAATGGTTTTGGGCTGTTTATGTCAGTCAGCCTGTATATATATTTATGAAATGTATCGAATATTTTGAAGTTGTTTTTTTTTCAAACAGGAATGTTGATACTTGTTTGTTCACTAGAATCAATCTTCCTGAAAAAATATTTTTTTTTTTCAGAAGGCACCAATGAAAATTTCCTCCCCCCCCCCCTTCTGCGAACATTATCTGGATCCGCCCCTGATCGCTATCCATACAATGGTCAAATTTTCATCAGTTAGTTGTCTCTGTTGGAATGCTATTTTCGCAAAACATCACCTACTCAATTCATTTTTTGTGGGACATTGTGGCTTTGAACTTCCCTACAAATGGATATATCTTTCCAGAGAACTACAGTTGAAATATTTCAATAGAACGATTTGGTAGAAAACAAATTCGAAATTTTGGGGCCAATTTTTGTTTTGTTTTTAAGTATGGCAACATTTGGAATGTCTATGAATCAGTTCTTATTTATTGATATGGATATATGCAACTGTAGAACATCCTGTGGATTTGAATTCTATAAGTAGGCATACCTACCCAGATACTGTTATGTTTTTTATCTGAAAGCTGTACTAGGATTGACGAATGTTATTATGATATAACGTTGGACGTATTACACGTACCGTAGATTCATTATCAATTCAAGTAATTTCGGTATTAACGTAAAATGTTGAACCAGTCTCATTTTATCGTTTGTGCGATAGTATATTCTCCATAACCACTTCTCACAGTGTAATATTTGTGACTGCTGTTGATGTTGATATACGTGGTTTGTGGTATTTTGAAAACAATTGTTGTGGATTTGAAGAATATCCTTGACTCAGGTGATAAACAAAATGTCCGTGTGTTTCAAAATGTCAGTCAAGTAACCACATAATTGCCAAAATATTGACGGAATCGAATTTGGAATTTCATGATGAGACACTTATAGATTATCGCGCAATATCAGAAGTCAACTGCGTTATTTTTCTCGTTTAACAAACATAAATATTGAGATTTATAAGAAAAATAATTGATCCTCTTCCTGACACTAAACTAGCCAATTAACACTCAAGGTGCTAAGGAACATTTAACCATTGTAATGTTATTGGTAATCACTATAATAATATGTGTTTGTTGTCGTACTTTTACTATATGTATATAGTGTGCTTTTATGGTACTTGAGTGATATATCAATAGTTGAATTATTGTTTTTTGTTGTTGCAGATGTCAGCTGGATCCCAGATACAGATGGCACCACAATCAACAGTCAACACAACACAACCCGTACATAGCCAAGACTCCAATATGAGTACAGGTAATATAACAATTGAAAATCTCATAATTATGTGGTATTTCTTGAATAGATGTAGGGCTTGGGGCTTATGTTCGTGATGGAGTTACTATAAATAGTATGTATGTTGTATGTGCCAAGTATTTATACATTCGGTTAAGGTTTTTTCCAATGATCTAATCTGTATCGAAAACCACGATAACGATTTGAAAAATAATTCCAAGGACACACCAATGACGAGCACAGAAATATATCAATTATTCATTATGGCCAGAGCTGTTTTTCGTTGTCTGAATTAGGTGGGATGGGAATCGATATGTTTTCTGAAATTGCTGTACATTTCAAGTTATTGTGATGTGATACATTATCAGTAAACAATGTAAACGAAATGGAAAAATACCAGCAATAATTATAATATTAAAGAGTAATATATACATGCATAGATCAGTCAAGGTTAAAATAGTCGAATTGACAATGACAAATCTAACAGAACAAACTTAATAGGGGTATTCCGGAGCCCTCGTATTTGACTTCGTATATTTACGAAAATGACCTACGTATTGTTACGAAACCTCAAACACGGGAACGACCCATGGATAGCAATGTCAACTGTCAGTTCATTCCGAAGCTTCCGGTGCGAAATTGAAAAATTCAAATTCATCATGCCAAAGAAAAGTTTCAAACAAAGTATTATCAATAATTGTAATTGTATACTAAGTTGGGTTCAGATTCACAAGTTTGTTTTTATTTATAATATTTTGGTAGTATGCTACTGCAGTGGGTTTTTCTATTTCTGCACCATTCAAAATTGTATCTTTCATATGGCCAATATATGGCTCAATATAATTTCAGTTTCTTTATCTGTCCACTTTTTATGAGGGCCTTGTTTCCTCTTGGAAACAGAGCAAGAACTGCATGACTGAAAATACAATTTCAATAATTCAAGTCCTTCTCCAAGATTGACACATAGTTCTCGTTCTTATTCTTACCATTTTCAAAATACCTTTATCCAAATCAGGTATTTATATTGTGCTTTATGCTCAGGCCAGGCAGCTCAAACGATAAAAATTCGTTAAACACAATTTTGAATAATAACAATAACCCTAACCTCACCACTTGAAACCGGTCACGGAACAAACTTCTGTCAGAGCAGTTTCGTAAGAACGGCAATTTTGTAATCTTACACAAGAAAATGGTAGCGTAAAGTTACGAAGGACCGCGTATCCTAATCGACCAATCAGATTAGTTTGCTGAATACGACGATACGAAAATACGACAATACGAAGCATTATACGAGGACCGGGAATACCCCTATTGTAAATCAAACCTCGATTCAAACTCAAAACGAAATTGAGTATAGTTGATTTATCTTTAAATGTCAACTGTATGACAATTTCATTTAAAAAAATTCGAATGATTTGCTGCGAAATATGTGGTATTGTAAGGAGTGACCATACCTTTGAAGACATCGATTTCGATGCTTGATATTACTATCAGCAATAACCTTTCTTTGGAAAATCACGTGAGATCAATTGCTAAAAGTGCATCCCAAAAACTTGGTTTTCTGTTTCGGGCCAGGAGCTATTTCACTTCCAGTCAGCTGCTCATGATCTATAAGGCACAGATCCGACCTGTCCTGGAATACTGTTCCCAATTTGGAGTGCAGCACCCAAACATACCCTGAAACTGTTGGATTCTGTCCTAAAAATGGCAATTCGTCTCGTGGGTGATGCCTCGCTCACAAACTCACTCACTTTTCTGGATCACTGTAGAAAAGTTGGCGATCTGGCTCTATTTTATAGATATTTTCATGGACGACGCTCTTCTGAAATATCAACAATTGTTCCTCCCTTGGCAGTCCCCGCGAGATTGACCCGTCAAGTTGAGGCTTCGCACCCCTTCGTGGTCACTTTGAAGACCTGCAGAACATCTCTTTCCAAAGACTCGTTCATCCAACGAAGAGCGAGGCTCTGGAACACATTGCCAAGGGATGTGTTTCCCGAGGCATATAACCTCCAGAAATTTAAGAAGAACACCAATTCCTTCCTTATTCCCCTTTCCCCATACGATTGAAAACCTCCTTTATAACAACTTTTGAAAACATTGTCTAAATCGAATAATGTCGTATCCCACAATGGATCGCGTGATTTATTGTGGGATATGACGAATGCATATTCGCTTGCAGTATGACGAAAAGATTATCAATGGCACGCTAAAGAAGAAGTCGAGAAAAATGTTCTCCTTTGTGTTGAAATTAATGACACATTGCTCGGACAGGTCGATTGAAACCTTGAAGCGTAATGGGCATCAACTTTCGATTTTCAAGTGTAATATCCTGTATTTCATTCATATATTCATCTTATATTCATTGGGACACCCTGTAAATTCTTCTTTAATTATTTTTAGATGACATTCTTAATGCATTTTTATGATATTGTGTCATTTTTATTTCATCAAGAAAGCTTCTTTTCTAGATACTGTATGTAGGTTAATCTTTGACATTATTTCTCGTCGAATATAATAGGGATTCCATTTCCTGCGCTCCAAAAGTTGAAAAAAAGTATTTCAAGATCAGATGATTTGCCCGAAAATGTCACTACGCTTAAAATTTCTCCTTCAGAAGCCTCAAAGACCAATTCAATCGACAGTCAGTGACATAGTATGGTGAATAATATAAATTGTTTACTTTTCTTTGGAGAACAAATCTGCTCCCGTTCTCAGTGAAAACGTCCTGTATCTCAGTCATTAAAGATAGTAGGCATATCAATGGGGGTGATTTGGAGCTATCAAAGATCAAAGTCCTCTATCAGCTCTACAGGTATTGTATGTCTATTCAAATCTGAAACACCCCGTATATACATTTAAGTACTCATGATAATCCATTAAAATAAAACGAGACTCGACGTTTATTCCGGAAAGATTAAAACTAAAGATTTTTTGTCATACGGTTAGAAATTGTCAAAAATTCCACAAAAAATTCATCATTTTGGAAGGTCCCAATGTGGTATATTGTATAACGATTACGGAATGATAGTCATTTCCCATTCATCATTCCATGCTCTACTATTATTTCCATTTCTTACGAATCTCAGATGTTCCTTGTTAATCTGACTACACGCATATTTTATGGACCCTTAGAATAATCACTAAGTTTTTGATGATAGCTTTCATACGAAATTGGTAAAATTCGTATGCATCCGGTATTATTGAATCAGTTATGGTAAACCACCGAACATAAACAGAGGGACCCACTATCATTAAATACAGGATGGCTCACTCTCAAATATTTAGGAAACCTTCCACCACCACCACTCTTCTGTGAATTATTGAAACACAACCTCACTTTTTCATTTGGCTACAGAGGAATCAAAGGATTCAAGGAATATGATGTTTCAGGTAATTAGTCATCTCACATTAGTTTTCATTATGAAACGTTGTCATTCGTTATTGAAATTCCTTCTGCCACTTCTGCAATATAAGCTAATACTGCTAATAGATTGAAAATGTCTACAACACACACGATCATATTAAGTCAGCAATGTCAGCATGTCAGACCAGTCCTCCCGTTTGATTGTATGAATCAAATCTTCCTGCATTATTTTAAAAATTTCACGAGTATTTTCATTAGTTTCTATTGTAGAAGGAATGGGTTCATATCACAAAAAAAATTTATTTCATAATCCGATAGAACTCACCCAAACTAGCTCACCACCGCAAACCGTTTCTTGCTGTGAGCTCCCGAAGTTTTATAAAAAAATATTGGAATCCCCGATTTTTCGGACCTCTGTAAACGAGGCGATGATGTGACGTCAAAACCCTAATACTGAAACAAGACTATTCCAGACAGAGATGAATGATACATGATTTCTGACAGAGTGGATTAGCGCGAGATCACAGTTGAAAGAATTAATATATCAGTTGTCTCAGTCTCCGTCGGGCTTTTGGTATTTTCTTTTAACTATGGCGAGATGAGGTTTCTACGTCATAAGAGGGTCCGTTTTCAGAAGGTACTATTATTTATGTCCAAAAATAAAACATTCCAATTAATTTTTCGATCGAATTATGTCGTCAATCATTATTATTTATGTATAAAAGGGTCATTATAAACATGGTTTGAGTTGAAAGTTCAACTAAGGTGTACACGCCCATTCCGATGAGAAATCAGAGAAATTACCAAATTTAGTAGATACTAACTCTTAAATCATAATGTACCAACCGGATTCCTTCGTCTTCCGCTGCAGTCTTTGTGAATTGTACAACAGCACAATGTGATGGCATGAGCGAATTAATGTATAGCCGAAAAATACGATTCGTATGCCAAAATAATTGTGAAGAACTATTTCAATCACTTGTAAACAAATAAGAAAAGTGAGGTTGTGTTTCAATGTTGTGCCTACAGGGTCGGTCATCTGACAGTTCTTGCACGCAATGTTGGCGATGATCATATCAGTTATTTGTTCCATTCTTTAGATACCTACCTGCAATGAAATAATTATTGTACATACCTACAAATAAAAATGAAATAAAAATCTGCGTGTTATAAAAATGTTATAATCATCACTCCGTAGGTTTCGTTCGGATTGAGAGACATATTTTGTTTATATAATATCTTGACTCTCCGTATAAATAGATCGATTCTTCTCGGTATTTGGTGCCTCCCTCACCTCTCTTCCATCTTCCATGAAAAAACATGAGTAAACACGGAATGAGCAACAAAAGTCTCGTCGGATATTTTTAGACCGGTTAGTATTCACCGAGAGAGATTACCAACCACCATTTTGAAACGATAATTAGGCGGTCAAAAGTGAATATAACTCGCTTTTCATGCAGAGCCGTGATATTGCGATGAAATTGTCAGCAGGTCGGTTTCGACATTTTCGCCACATTCCAAGTCATTCAAATGCTATGCCGAGATTTTTGCCATTGGTTTTTTTCTATGTCAAATTTTACTTCAATGTTGAATGCGAGGTTGCATGATTACAAATGAAATTTTTGACGGCTTCTAAGAATGAATTTATAAGTAT